CCTTGGACGAGGACAGAAGGGGACGCATCGGAGTCCTCTTTCTTGGGAGGGACGGGGGTCATTTCTTGGCACGATTTCCGCCCTGTTTAGCGTACTTCGGCGCCTACTTCTTCATCTGTTTTGTCTTTCTATTTGCAGTAACCATCATGAAAAAAACCTTCATTGGACACATTTATCATGACTCTTTATCAACATAATACCACAAAGATGCCTTTAACCACGACCGCGGCGGCGCGGTCTACCCTCCATTGTGATACCAAGCGCCATCATCGGAACGCATATCCGGCTGCTGTAGCGGTTGGGAACCACCACCACAGCTGGCAACGGAAGCGGAGGCGTGGCATAGCGGCGGCTATCGGCGACGAATGGATTGCGTTGTCGCTCCATAAGGAACTGGCGGCGGCGAGGCGGAGATGTTGAAGTTGCAAGACTCAGCATCGATGAGATCATAGATGATGGAGATCGACGAAGCTCACACAACGGGCTAGTCGTTGTAGGCAGGTTAACTATCTCCCACAGATAGTAAGGGTAATGTTCCAACTATGGGGCAAACCACATAATTGGAGCCTTACCCTTACTATTTCTGGATCGTGGACTACACCTTCGGCGAGTCGTTAGTTCTCCGTCCTGATCGTCAGTAATGACGTATCAGAACAGAAAAAATGTTTATTCTTCTCACGAAGGGCAATTTTGAGAAGGGAATGATGCCGTATCTCTCTGACTCCTCCATTGTTCACTATACCACGTCCATCTCTTCTTTCCTTTGTAACCTACTCTTGAAATTGGCCAACCCCCATATAGTAACCACTAACCTTGAGTTCACGGAAGTTGATAAGAGCAACTTTAGAAGTGGTGATGAACTGAAAAATCAAGATAAGTGGGTTACTTATGGAAAGGACAGATGGATAAAGGTAAGTCAAGTGAAAAATCTCCTCGACTCCTCTTGATAATAGCCTGACTTATGTGCAGAACGAAAACCGCGAAGCTCTAGGTCTAAATGTCCTTCAAGAGTCCCAGTAGCGCCTCCAAGGATGGGTTCTGTTTCGACCAGGCTTTCTTTTAAACCAACTAGAACACAGACCCTGGGTCTGTTGTCGCGGGGGAAATGCTGTTAAAAGTGTTTGTGATGATGCATAGGGAAACGTGTCTAAACGTGTTACCCATGCTGATCCTATAACAATTCACCTGTATCACCTGTCGTCCCGTTGATCGTCGATTTGCTCGAGCGGGCGCCAGCAACGTCTCCATTCGTCCCTGTCGCGTGCTAGAGTGGTCCAGTGGATCCTCCTCGCTCGAGGGACACGAAGTCCTTCATTCCTTTCGTTCAGAGCTTTCGTGAAGAAGTCTGACCATCGGGCCGGCGGTCGTCCAGGTGTTCGTTTGACGTCCCGAGGGATCCAGTCGGTAACCGCTCTGGTCCAACGGTCATCGCAAAATCGCATGACGTGTCCGGCCCACCTTATCTTCGATTCCTTGGCGAAAACGGCAGCGTCCCTGATCTTCGATCGTTGGCGTAGTTCCGAACTCCGGATTCCCCTCTGCACTTGCGTGTATAGGGTTACTCCTAGCATCGTCCTCTCGACAGCGCGTTGGATAACGCTGACCGCATGCTACCAAATCCACACGGTTACGAGACTCATTGAAGTTTCACGAGAGTACAAGATGCCGCTTTGTCTCACGTTCATCGACTTGAAGAAGGCCTTCGACTCTGTGGAGACAGAAGCGGTCATCGAAGCCTTGGGCAACCAGGGCGTCCCTACTCAGTACATCAAGATTCTTCGTGAGCTCTACAGCAACTTTACGACCAGAATCTCACCATTCTACAAGGAGGTCATCATCGACGTCAAGAGAGGGGTCCGACAGGGCGACACCATCTCGCCCAAACTCTTCAGCGCCGCTCTCGAGAACGTCATGCGTCAACTGGAATGGGAAGACATGGGAGTGAAGGTCGACGGCCGGCAACTACACCACCTTCGTTTTGCTGACGACATCGTTCTTATAACGCCGAACATCGAGCAAGCGGAGCGAATGCTGGCTGATTTCGACTGCGCCTGTGGTAAGGTTGGTCTACAGCTGAACCTAACGAAGACGATGTTTATGAGAAACGGATTGGTTCCTGATGCCCCATTCACGCTCAACGGAACGAACATCACCGAATGCTCCAGCTACGTGTACCTAGGTCGGGAAATCAATATGATGAACGATCTAGCTCCAGAGCTGAGCAGGAGGAAACGAGCGGCATGGGGAGCATTCAAGCTTACACCTCCGTCCTTCCCCCCGCTTGCTTTCGCCCCGGAAAGAATCCCAAAAAACGTACCCTTGTCAAAAATTTCGTAAACTTTCCGTAAATTCGCGAAAGTTCCTCGCAATTCCTCCAAAACCCTCTTACCGCGTTTTTCGAGATAGGTCCCATTTTGCAAAAAAATACGGACGCTAGGTAATAGACCCAGTCGCCTCGACCATGGCCGACACTGCCACATAATTTGAAGCGGCCTATGCAACATAAGCGATCCATCCTGTGTCAAAAAAAACCAATCTTGATTTCTTTTCATCAGATCAACTGCAGCCCACTGTCAGGAGGCAGGCCATTATTTCACCAGAAGCGTACGCTGACGGAATTAAACTGGGCTGCTTCGTAACCAAAACGGTTGAGGGACGTAAGCATCTTCCACTCAAATTTTCCAATGAACAAAGCAAAGTACAGATAAAACGTCGGTGGCGGCGTCGAAAGTACCTTCGAAAACAACCAAATGTTACTCGACATATTTATTGAAGCATTACAAGAAACGAAAGAGCAGTGGACGGCCCCGAAAAAAAACTGTGGAAACGAATTTTTGCACTGTTATCGTGCAGTCTTGATTCGTTCCGTCAGTTATTGCAAACTGGATATGCGTCCCTCACACATTGTATAGCAGAAAAAATCAATCGCAGATATTGAAATATTGGCCTCTTTATATCATTTGAGATAGCAACAACAACCAGCACAACGATATGGAGGCAATATGAGGCTTGAAGAGAACAGATGGACAACCCATCAATTGAGAAAAATAGACTTTCTGACAAAAAAAATCATAAGTACAATTCTAGCATGGTAAAAGCGTGATAAGAACAAGAGTATTAGTTAGTTCTGCTAGCAGATCGTATCCTTCCGTATTCGGCTTTTTCATACTCGAATTTCTGGTTAGGTTGTTCAATGATGGCGATGCAACCCTAAATAGGTGCAATTAAGTGAAAGATAGCAAAACGAGAGAAAAAGTCACAAATAATTTCATGATTGAAAACATTGATATCTCTTCCGGGGGTGATGGGTGATGCAGTGGGCACCATATCACATCTGCACGTCTGACGAGATTTGTAGCGTCTAGAAACAAGTAGCTGGTGACGGATTCATCTGGTAATGGGAGCAGCAGGAAGGCTTCCAAACGTTCGGTCCCTCAACAACTCACTGCGAATCTTGTGCTTCGCATGCATAGTCCTCGGTCGTACAATCTTGTTGAGTTGATGTTTTCAATGAAAGTTTGAACGCATGACGTAAGCATAGAACAGTGCAAGGTTTACTTTTTGATTTGTAGGTCACGTGGGCATCTATCAGCGAGACCATAAAACTATCTTGAATTCTTCAGGCTTTTTTTGCATAATCAATAAATAAAGTGAACGAAGGTGTCAAAGCTACGAATATAATTTTTGACTCTTTGTTATTCCAAGGACTTTCCCCTGCTTTCAGAGATGTTATATAATTCAGCTTTGTAACCGAGACTGTTCATGACAATTTATTCGTAAATAACGTTCCTGAAGTGGAGTAGTCTTTACTGTTCTATGGCAACGTTTTGGTAGCCGACGATCCTATTGGGTTAGTTCTTGTAGGTGGAAATGGTGTTTGGACGGATAGTTTCTGAAAGGCCATTGTCTTTGCAGGCCTTGAAGAAAGCCGATATCGCCGAAACGTCAGCCGAATTAACTGCAAGTTAACATGCGCTCCACAGGATTCCAAACGAATCGCATTTTGGGAGTGGGCGCCAAACGCGACCCTCCTCACAGCACATCATCTTTTCAGCCTTACGTTCGCAACTGAGATTCGCTCCGTTCTCTCCTACCGTTTGGCGCTTTTCGCTCGCGGGCAATCTGATCTAAGCGGCATTCTCTAATTTCTGATCGCACACATAGATGAACTTGGTTTCTTATATCATATATTAATAAATAAGCATTACAGGAGGGGCCCAAAAACGAGTCCACTCTCACTCATCATTTAAAACAGAATTAATTAAACTTTGCCGGAACCACAAGCCCAAATGAGCTCAATTGCATATTGAAAGCACATTCTATTCTATCAGAAAAATTGCATAGTGGCTTTCTACACCGACGACATCAGAAGATTTTCCCACGGAAACATGGTTCGCGGTACGAGCTCAACGGGGTCGTCGAGAAACCATAGATGATTACGACGTCTCTGAAACGCTGGTCAAAAGCCATTTTGCATAGTCAGAGCTAGTGTCTCTAAGAAGTCATTCACCAGTTATCCGATTGAAGAATTTATGTAGCAGCTTCAGAATCGGAGCGATTATTGTAGGCCTCCTTAAGCTCGACGGTGATGACAGATGACGTCATATTCTGGAGACGGTGAACGCAGCGAAGGTGGGCCTGATTCTGCTTATGGGGGGACATCTAAGGAATAATTTCGCCGTATAACTCCCAATAACAGCGGCATCCTTTGCGACGAAAAGTTTGATGATATGCGCCATGGGCAAAGTGACTTTTTTTTGCCCCCCCCCCTGTATATATATATATTTCACTGGCGTTTTCATGAATATACGTACACCTTGAATTGTACTATTATTCATGCCGTGGATTTTGGAAAAAAAGGTGGTCACCAATGGATTTCTCATGACGGAAAACCTCGGTAATGATGTTCTGGATAATTTTCAATTTTTGCACTTCTGCCTGACATGGAAAGACCCTTATCGCACATGGAAATCGAGGATCAAGGACGGTGTTGATGGAAAAGACCCTTATCGGCACATGGAAATCGAGGATCCAAGGACGGTGTTGTCTAAAAAATGGTTAAAGTCGCTCCGAAAGAACTTCACGGTACTCTATGGCATCCATAGAGAGGAAACAAGAGCGAGCTCCAGCTATTCATTCGCTCAAAGGAGCGTCGAACCAAAGGATCCCTCGGCCAGAATTATACGTGTTGCTCTAAAAGCACAATCAAGGCTTTATGGGATCCTCCTATACCCTCTTCTATCAGGTCCACCTGGGCTGAAATCTTCCTCGTCGTTCCAGATCACCTGCAACAGGAAACAAAAGGAGAGTCAAAGATTGCGAAGCCGTGCGTAATGGCCATTACGCGTTATCCTCCAATCCAGTTGGGGGGTTTCCAACGCGAAATGGAGACGTGCAATCCTGTAGTGTGCTCGATATCTTAGAACGCCTCTTCGCTTTTCTCATCTTTCTTACAATGATTGGTGATCTTCTCCGCTCTCTGCCTTGCGCCACCCACAGTACTTTGTTGCCTGCGGAAGACCGCATTTCAGCAAGGACCTTGCCCAGACTTCTCGTAGAATTCGACAGAAGGGCCCAATTCTTCCTTCATCTTGAACACAAAACAAACTTTTTCAAGTAGGTACTTTCCCTAATACCGTACTGATCAGATTTCGCACTTAGTTGCTAATGCAGTGCAAACCGGCCGATGAAGCCGGCAGTTCTGCTCCTGGACCACTCACCCTTCATGAATTGCTCTGGCTTGAACTTTATAGTGGGAAGAGAGGCGACTGGTACGAGGTATGCTAAACTCGATATCGACTAAGCTCATACAGTCGATATACGAAAGTTGGGGTAGGCGTGTCACCGGAGTGACGTGTACTTGATAGAAGTTGCGTGGATAAGCTGTTGCCAGCATGCTTTGCTGATA